TATTGATTCGGCGTGGAATTACACAGCCCAGAATTGACATGACTGTATCACAAAGTGGATTATTGTTAATGGGACATGAGAGAAAAACACATGTGACACTGGTTTATGAGCGAGTCGTTGATCCAATCAGCCAAATGATGAGGCCCGGGCCGGGCCAACACCGGTAATGACACTGTAATGCTCATCCTACAGACACGTGGGAGGTCCAGTCTGGACGATGACGGCGCTGGAGTCAAGAGAGAGAGAGAGAGAGAGCAACTAGTGGTTGAAAAGTTTTTTTTAGATCTTAGTTCAGTGGGGAGGGAGTTCAATTCCCACTAAGAGGATGGTGTGTTCAATTTCAGATGTTTTGGCAAATTTAAAAAGTCAGTTCTGACAAATGGGAGGTCAGTGGAGGAAGAACAGAAAAGTTCTACCAGATCATAAATAGATTTGTTTGATTTATTTTTTCTTCCCTAAAAACTGTAATTTATTATTGACACGTTGACAGAGCATCAGGTTCTCGTTTAGAGAAGACGAGTTGAATTATTATTGACACGTTGACAGAGGGTGAGGTTCTCGTTTAGAGAAGACGAGTTGATGTGTTTTGACAAACCTCTTTTTTTTTTCAGTCAGTTTGCTGCCTGTATCTCCTCCTATAATCTGTGGAATCTCGATGACTTGTTGTCAACATTATTGGTCTGAACAGGTTCTGGTTCTCCAAGGACTGAGGTTCCAAAAGGAGCCTGAACCCGGTGAGATCAGTGCTGGAGTTTGGTGCTTGTTTTAAAACCTCTGTGCTTTGAAACATTCATATAAAAACAAAGTTTGGTAAGATGTTGTAGAATCTCAGTCAGGACCTCGTGTTGAACCTCGCTCCCTCCTTCAGCCACTCCACTGTTTGCTCCGGTGTTTTTGTGAGAACATGATGTGAAATCAGAGCGACACCGAGGTGAGAGATGTGGGTTGACGTCAACGTTGCCTCAGACGTGGCTGTGGAACCCACACTCACCGCCGTGCACTCACATCACTGCTGCCAACAGCGCCATCATCGCTGCTGCCAACAGCGCCATCACGGGAGAACCCGCTCTTCGGCAAATGGCCTGTGGTTTTTTGTCACCTGTAAATTAAAATGGATCAGGAACAAGATGTGAAATGTTAGATTTTAAAAACAAACAAACGTCTCTGCTCTCTCTCTCTCTCTCTCTTTGTCTCTCTCCCTCAGCCTTTTGCCCGAGCAGCAGTTCCTCCCAGCTGCGTGAATGAGGTCATTTTATTCATCGGAGAGTGCAGACAGAGCACTTTCTAAATGTGGCGACTTGTTCTTACCTGTAGCCGTGTCTGTGGACAGCTCTCCGTTTGGACTGGGGTTTATTTTCCACCCAGAGAAAAACCACAAACAAATGACGATGAAAATCCAGCCTGGTCGTCAGGGACACATGGAAATGACGTCTGTAGACCTGCTTCATGTCATGGAGCGTAGACTGGATGATCAACAACTGTCTTTAGTCACATATAACATGAGCAACAGTATTTTTTTTTTAATTTGTAGTTTTTTTTTAGATTTAGGGAAAATATTTAGGGGAAATGAAATAGAAGATGAAAAGAAAAGTTTTATTTATCAAGTCAGAAATCAATAACAGTCTGCATGGACAGGCAGACAGTAGGACAGAGGTAGAGTCCGCTGACGCCACGGTTCAGATGGCAGCCCAAACATGAATCCAGTAGGAGGGACAGTAGGACAGACAGTAGGAGGGACAGTAGGACAGACAGTAGGACAGACAGAGATAGAGACATTAGGACAAAATGTAGGACAGAGACAGTAGGACAGACAGTAGGGCAGACAGTAGGAGAGACAGTAGGACAGACAGGAAGGCAACTGTAGGACAGACATTAGGAGAGACAGAGAAAGAGACAGTAGGGCAGACAGTAGGAGAGACAGTAAGAGAGACAGTCAGTGAGACAGTCAGTGAGACAGTCAGTCCACTCTCGTCCACCGTGGCTCTTCAGTCAAGCACAACCGTCTCCACGTTTCATAAAAACCCAGACTAAAATATTGACTCCTGTGATTCCAGTGCAGGGAGGGGTTGACGGTTTAAAGCTGCCTGAAAGACAGACAGGGATATTTGTCTCTCTGGAAGGACTCTGTGATCCTACATAAGGCCTGTGGCTTAGCACAGAACCGGGTTTCTCAAACATTGGCTCTGGCCCCAAGAGAGGCTTTGTGAAACAAGAAGACAAAAAAAAACAAAAAAAACAAACCCAAACCACAGAGTGACCCCAGCTCCAGGTCATGGATTGTTGTTGTTGTTGTTGTTGTTATTGTGTAGGATTGTGTCGTCATCAAAGCTTTATTAATTACTGTGATCATTCTGGAGGATTATTGGAGTGCAGATGTGCTGACTCGGCACATGTGTGTGTGTGTGTGTGTGTCTCCCCGAGCAGCGTCATTTGATGTGGAAGACATTTATTATCCTGACGACTCGATGACATATTGATGTCTCTGAGTTCCTGTTTGCACTTGTCGCCGTCGTTTATGAATCACAGAGCGCAGAACAATAACGCTGACTTCAAAACTCTTGGTTATTATAAAGTCTTCTGATTGGATGGATGGATGGATGAATGAATGGGTGGATGAATGGATGGATGGATGATACTCGTAGTAAAGGATCAGCGATTCCTTTTTTACCTCTTTTTTACCTCAAAGTAAAACAACATTTTTCTACAAATTCTGTGCGGCCGTATTTTGAAATATTAAAAAAAAAAAAAAAAATTTAAGGGTAACACAATCCAAAAGTTTATTTTTAGAAAAGACTGAAAACTTTGTTAAAGCCTCAATATTACAGAAACGCTGTGTTGTTTTTTGTTGTTGTTGTAAACGCGCAGCTTGTAGCTCTATCGCCCTAACCTGCTACGTCTTTCTCCGCTTGACTACGTTAGCTCTGAGCGAATGAGAAACAAGCGAGAAAAATCTAAATCACACTGGACTGATGTCTCAACAGTCAATAAATAACAATAAGAAAGAAGTGAAGACTTTGGAAAAGACAAAAAACTTCAATTAATTAAACTGATCGGCTTCTTCGTCATCTCCGTCTGCCTGAACGACGTTGACCTCTTTGACCCTTTTGGCCCTCACCTTCAAATTTGAGTATTCTGTTGACCTTTCTGACCCCGGTCCAATAATCACAAACTGACACGTCATATTAAGTCTGTCATTTATGTCAACCGTTTACATCGAGACAACATACTCACTGGAAAAATAAAAAAAACTCGTTTGTTAATTAAACCAGAGGGGGAACAGCTGGTTGTGCTGCTTCATCATAGTTTTGCTCATTATCTGCTGAAAAAACCCCACAGATCTCCTCCATGTGGCGCCTGTTCTCCTTGGCTGACATTTTACAGTGAGAGGATTGACGTCCACCCGCCGCCGCCGCCGCCGCAGCAGCAGCAGCCAGTTTGCTTCGCTCTTGCCTTTTTAAACAAGCGGCGGTTTCTCTTTGCTGCTGATTTGCTTTAAACAAAGTGAGCAGGTAGCTGACGCCGCATGTTCCAGCTCCGCTGCACGTGTGCTGCTCTCTGCTAATCTGTGCAACCGTCTGCACACTCCACGCTTTCCCTTCTCTTTTTCCCCTTTTCTTCGCCAGAGACATAAGTCGTCTCGTCTTTCGACCCCAGACTCGCGGGTTAAAGTGATTCATGAATTATCGGCGTCTGAATGTAAAGGGTTTTAACCCGGACTCCCGGAGCAGTAATGCACCCCACATGTCTCTTTATTTTTCTTTCTTTTAGGTCACAGGTGCTTCACAGCTGCTGCTGCTGCTGCTGCTGCCGTGGACGGAAAATCATCTGGAGCCCAGGAGGATGCTGGGAGAAGATACAAAGGGCAGGGAAGGGCAGGGAAGGGAACATGCAGCCTCTGGGCCGGCTGTGGTGGGGAGGGTTCCTGGCACGGTGATTTGATGCACAAAAAGAAACAAAAATCACATTGCCAGGGATTTCCACTCCTTCACAGCTCAGCAGAAGAGACGCTAACAACCTCGTGTTTCCACGGAACAACACCTTTTTTTTTTTTTTTTTTACTGGTCTCCTACAAAATGTTGCCATGGAGTCAGAGTAATAAATACTGGGCTGAGACAGACGCCGTCATTGTCTCTCCGTGAACATCAGAAGGTGAGGTTGTAGAATCAAACAATCATCGTAAATCTGCCGCCGAGGATCAGAGCCACATGGAAATGTTCTTGGACTTCTGATGTTTTTCCACTGCTGGAAATAAGTCATGTTTCTTTTTTTTTCTTTTTTTTTTTTTTAGGATGAAAATATTCTCAGTAAGAATTATATTTTTTACTGAGAATTGTTTGTTAACTTTAGATATGAATATAAAAATCACACTGTCAGATGGCAAGATTGATAAACTTTCAACATTCAAATTAGCAAAAAAAGTCTAATGTTGTTGTCAACATTTTTTCATATAAAAACAACAACAACAATAATAATAAAAGACAATGTTGTTGTCAACATTTTATCATATGAAAACAACAATAATAATAATAATAATTATTATTATTATTATTATTGTTGTTGTTGTGTTTGTAATCCTTTACATTAACAGGACAAAACGGTACAAAATTAGCCTTCAAAAAAAAAAAAAAGAAAAGAAATTGCTATCATTAAAGTTTCCGTCTTGGTTTCCTCCGTGTCCCGTGAAGGTCTGTGGTCGCTGTGAGTCTCCGGCCGCAAACTTGCTAAAGGCACAGAGCTTAGCTAATTGGTGAGCATTGATCCCTGTTATGTATTGTTCACAGTGGCTAAGTTCAGTGCCTGAGGTGAAATAGTTGATTCGACGGAAGGGATTTGTTTCAGTGAATGGAAAGAACTTGATGATCTTGGAAACGTGGGAAGTGGAAGAATGTGAGATTAGGTGGAAAAGAAGGCGGGGAATCAGAAACATTTTCTTCTTCTTCTTCTTCTTCTTCTTCTTCTTCTTCTTCTTCTTCTTCTTCTTCTTCTTCTTCTCTGGACCAAATGCTTGTTATTGTGCAACATGATCTGGACAAGATGGACGTTTTTTATCTTGTGTTTGCCAGAGGTAACAGCTGTCTTATCCTACATCGTACCTTTTTTTGCACCTGGCGTGAATTAACATGCATGCCAGAGGTGTTTTTGAAGGCGTTTCAGCCGCTCTGGTTCCTCAGGTTTAGACGTAGACAATAAAACGGCTGGAGTTCTTTTGACATTTCAGGAATGCGACGATAAATGTCAAACTTTTCTGCCACGCTCGTCTTACAGTAGCTCCAGCTGAGCTTCATGCTGCTGTTTCTTTTTGGTGCCACATGGCAGCACGGAGCACTGAGTACACAGTCCTGCTTCCTGATTGGCTCCCGTCATCAACACGGCACGGGCGTCTCACAGCTCGGAGTACCGATTTATTTAGCTAACGGTGCATTTGTTACACACAGTTTTATCATCATTTTAGGTAAAAAAAAAAATGAAGGCGCTAAATAAATCATGGATCGTTTCATGATGAACTGAACATTCGGCTGTTGGAGGTGAACAGCATCACCCAACATCAGAGCTCTGTGCTATAGTATACAGATTTAGTCCTGGGTATTCACACTGTTTTTTCCTCTAATTATACTTGATTCTGTGTGTGTGTCTCACTCTCTAATCATTAGTTTAAGAAAAAATTAATTGCAAAGTCAAGAAATATTATTTACAGGTTTCAATTAAGGATTTGATGCCTGCGCTAATTTCAGAACGATCTATCGAAGGATGGTTGAAAACCCCGATCAGCTCGAGGCTCGAGACAGATACGACGAGAAATCTGGTTGAATCTGTTGGAGACGCCCGTCTGTTGTTGCTTTTGACTCATTTATGAAACATTTTTGTTGGTGAACTCTGACCGTGGCCAACGTCAACTCCTCTTCTCCTCTCCCACGGCATCAAACCTCCGACAAGTGTTGTACAAATGTGCACGGCTTCACCAGAAGCCAGGGCTGGAGCTCACATCCGCTCAGTTCTCTCTGTCTGCCTGGAAAAGTGTGTGTCTGTGTGTGTGTGTGAGAGTCGTGCAGCTTCAGAGGATCCGAGGATCACGTTTCATCTCTCGGATTTTAGATTAAGATCCATCCAGTGAGTCATGGACTCCTCGTGTTTCAGCCCGTGGACTTTCCGCCCTGGTGCTGTCAGACGACGTCTGGGCCGCGCCCTCCCGTGCCTACTGAACTGGTATCAGTGTTAGACCTGAAAACTGGCT